CGACAATCGGAAACATTAGTTTAATTTTGATGTGTGCTTTGGAATAAGTTTGACTTGTTGTGGTGGGTTGTTCGAATATTATGGGAAGATGTTTTTCTAGTATTCCTTTTGCTTCGAAAAGAGTTTGGTTTGATTGGTATTGTATGGTTTAAAAGAGGCTGAAAGCTTTGTAAAGAAAATAGTAACTTAAATGACGAATAGTTTTTACTGATGAAAAAGTGATCCACCAGTACATGATATAGTAGAACAAAAGAGACGTGTAACGAGCTGTTTAATCAATCGAATACATTCGGCGAATGTTGTTGTTTGACTTATCAATGAGTTTGGTGATATTCATATTTTTCATTCTTAGAATGTTAACTACATTCTTGGATGTGGTCGATATTCCACTCAGTGGTGTATATTGACTAACGTTCAGTTCAGGAGGGCGTAAGTGAGGATAATCAGTTTCCAAAACAATACGATCGATGATGTTTGGTTTATTAAATAGCCACTTATTGAACGTGTTTATTTGTTCTTGATCATGCGAAAGCATTACAGAACCATTCAACCCAATAAATGAATTTTGAAAATAGTCCATAAACATCGAAATAACATACAAATCACTTTGAGGGTTGACACAATGCCAATGAATGTAATGATTTGGCTTGAGATACATCTTTAATTCGTCGAACATTAGCGAAAAAACGTTTTCTCCACGACCGTGAAGAACGATCGGAATTTGTAACTCTGCAGCCAATTTCAATTGAAATTGGAAGATTGACAATTGAGAATTGAGAGAATACCGACTACTGTTATCGAGACCGCATTCCCCAATCGCCACAGTTTTCGTGTTTAATGTGTATTGATTTTTGAATATATTGACCATTTGCTGCATAACAGGACCCGAATCATTTGGAATATACTTGGGATGAATCCCATACGTTGTCAAAATAGTTGCATTAGGACTGGTGATTTCGTGATTGGTGAACCAACGCTCATATTGATGACGGTTATCAATTAAAACAATCTTTCGACCGCGAGAAAGCTGCAGGTTGAAATCATCTTGAGTATAGCCATGTTTGAAGAATAAATCCACGTGACAATGTCCATCATAAATTGGTAACGTTAAAGGCAAATGATAGTTCTTCTTACAGGAACATATATCATAATAACTATTTGTACATATTGCCTTCATTATTCAGAAATAAATTCAAACTAGTGAAACAAATCCACAACACGAACCACAGTATATCAACAAAACTGATCAATCCTGTTTATATATTAACCAATGTGCCTAATCTCAGTCTAATGATGGAACATCATCAATAGTCATTTATTTTCAATCAATTAAATGTCAAGCAAACGAACATAATCAATCATGCAGGTCAACTATGGATTATTTTATTCTCGATAACGTCATTAGTCTCACACATCGCTCTATCACAGATCGTCATTTTCATCTCAATACGAAAATTGTTCTTCACTTTGCACTACCACTTTCATTCAACTCTC